CAATAAAATTTGAAACTGTTTTATTTCCCATGTAGATGAAACTCATTATAGCATTATAACCTTTTTTATTTATTTTTTTAAAAGATTTATTTATTTATACAAGATTGATTGATTAATTGATTTATACAAGCACTGGGCACAGTCAGAAGCGCGGGAGGGTGAGAGAATTCACCAGAGCCAGAGCGGGGAGCAGAGCAGGCAGAAGGACTGAGGTACACTGCTGAGGGGAGCAGCGGGTGGCAGGAGAGGTCTGCGCGCCATGTGGGACCCTCCTTCGGTGGCCAGGGAGCAGCCGGGGATCGAACCGGCACTGCAGAGGCAGCCGGCAGCTTCGCAACCCAGCGCTCAACCGCTGCGCCACAGGGAAGGCCCATAACCTTTTTAAAAGATTTTTTTATTTATTTATAGAAGAACTGGGATACAGGTCAGAAGCGCAGGAGGGTGAGAGAATTCACCAGCGACAGAGTGGGGAGCAGAACAGGCAGATGAACTGAAGACACTCTGAGAAGAGCAGTGGGTGAGGCAGGAGAGGTCTGTCACGCCCTGTGGGTTTCTCCAGGCCAGCTGAGAATCAAACCCATGCTGCAGAGGCTCTGGACAGTTTCACAAGGCAGTGCTCAAGTGCTCAACCCACTGCGCCACCAGGGAGGCCCAACGTTTTAATCTTGATTTTAGAAAATGTTCTAATCTTAGTAGGAAAAGATTAATAAAAGTGGCTAGAAGAAATGTTTAACCAGCAGAGGTGGCTAGAGAGTCCCAGCAACCCTAATACTATAAATTGGACTGGCCTCATGGAAAAAAGACTAAGGTTACCACACGGGGTTCTGGCTTTATAGAGGCACCAGGCTTGGTTTCATACTCTAGTGTTACTATTTTGAAATTGTGATGATTTTTTTAAGAAAGGTCTGTACATTTTCATCTGGCATTAGAGCCCATAAATTATGTACCTGGTGCTTACTATAAAAGCTAACAAAGTGAGAGTGAAGTGTATATATAAGAGAACCTTCCTTGAAGAGCCCAGGTAGTTGGCTATCAGTGTCAGGGGTACTTGGTTGTCTGGATAGAAAAAGGGCAGATGGCATCAACAGAAAACTTGTCAAGGGAGCACTTTCCTGGTGTGATACTCGGTCTCTCCAGCTGCCTGGTCATTGCTTGTTGACATACATTTTCAGGTTTGAAAACAGTAGTCCCAGCTCAGTACCAGCCATAGGAAGAAACATCAGAATAGAACTGGATTCTGACCAGTGAATGTTAATAAATCAGAGGTAAGCTGCCTGAACCTGACCTGCTTCTTAGTGTGCCCTCTCCAATTCCTTAACAAATGAGTACAGTACAAGCTAGGGAAAAGAATCTTGAAACAAAGTAGAATTAAAGGTGCCCCCCCACTTCTTTGTATGTGTCTGGGCTGCGGAGAGGGGGGGAAACCAGGAATGTTAAACCCAAATTACAGTAAGAGAATCTCTCTGCACTCAGGGACACCCTCCCAACTCAAAAGGGGGCAAAGTATAAAACTGGCTCTCACACCTCTAATTTTTTACCAAAGTTACTGATATCCCAAGGGAATATTAACTCACAGGAAAAACTAACATTTGATGTGCATAAACAACACATCAAAATACCTAAGTCAGAGGAAAGAGAATAAATGCATTGGAAAGAGCAAAAAAATTAATATATTAATAAATATACCTTAAGATGTAAGGAAGGTCATTTGATAGATGAAACAGGAAAAAATAGTTTTGAAAAAGAATTAGTATAAGAGTATGGCATAAAAAAATGCCTTAGCTGAAATGAACACAGCAGGAGGACTAAATAGCATAAGGACAATAAAAGAGTCAGTAGACGGGAAGATCAGGTATTAGGAAGGATAAAGTAATGGGAAGAAGTTAAAATTCTGAATAATAGAAGCAGAACATCAATATCTATAAAATAGGACTTTCTAAAGTTATACTGCATGTAGGAATTATCCTAATGAAGAACACAAAGAACTATGTAAACTAGATGCAAGCAGCATTGTGGGTATAGACACAATGAATTTTATCATTTAATACCATTTATGCAAATTGAAAATATGTAACTATGGGAATATATCTAAGGACATATATTGATGCTATTAGAATAGGGACCTGTGAGAATGTAAATGTGAAGGGAAGACAAAATGAAAGGAAAATAATTAAAACAAACTGAGAGGCTTATTTTAGAAATTTTAATGAATTAAGGAGTTTGTATAACTGTACTCTGAAGACAGATGGAAGCAAAGATGAATTGGAGGGAGGAAGACAGGAGGTATATATAAGTAAAAGGTTAACTGATTGCCCAATGACCAGAGAACTACAGAGAGAAATTGTAAGAATGTTTCTTTCCTCTTCACAATGAAAATAAATAGTTGCAAATCTAACATACTTTTTATACCAGGCACTGTCTTGGGTGCTGGGACTACCAAGATGTGCAAAATACTCTTTGTACTTTTAATAAATTATATTTCTCCAGCACAGTCCCACTCCTTTGAGCCAACTCTGAAAAGGTGTTTTAGGTTTTGTTGTTGCTGTTTTTTTTTTTTTTTTTTTTTGTGGGACCCTCGCTTGCGGCCTGGGAACAAACCAGCACTGCAGAGGCTGCAGGCAGCCTTGCAGCCCAGAGCTCAACCGCTAAGCCACCAGGGGAGGCCCCTGTTGTTTTTATTTTGATGAAAATCATTCTAATAGGTTTGACATGATATTTCACTGTGGTTTTGATTTGCATTTCCTTGATAAATTAATTGTGCCGAGCATCTTTTCCTGCACTGGTTGGTCATCTATATATATCTTCTTTGGAAAAACTGTCTATTCAGATCCTCTGACCATTTTATAATTGAATTGTTTAGTTTTTTTGTTAAAGGTGTCTGAGCTCGTGTGTGTGTGTGTGTGTGTATAGACATATATATATGAGACAGAGACACAGAGAGATTTAGATAGTAATCCTTTATCAGATAAATGACCTGCAAATATGTTTACCCATTCAGTATGTTGCCTTTTTATCTTGATGATTTCCTTTGCTGTGCAGGTTTTTGGCTTGATATAGCCCCACTTGTATATTTTGCTTTTCTAAACCTTAGCTTTTGATGTAAAAAATCATTAAAAAAATCATTGGCATGGGGCCTCCTTGGTGGCACAGGAATTAAAGTCTCAGCACTATCAAGCTGTCAGCAGCCACTGCAGCATGAGTGCCATCCCCTGCCAGGGAGCTGACCCACATGGTGCAGCAGACCTCTCCTGTCTCGCCCGCTGCTCCCCTTAGCAGAGAACACTGCTCCCCAGCAGTGTACACGCCTGTTCTGCACCCCATTCTGTCTCTGGTGAATCTTTTCACCCCCAGAACCTCTGGCCTAGATCCCAGTTCTTGTATCTATAAATAAATGAAATAAATTTTTAAAAACAATAAACAAAAAAATCCTGCCAAGACTGCTGTCAATGAGTTTATTGCCTGTATTTTATTCTAGAAATTGTATGGCTTCAAGTCTTACATTCAGATTTTTTATCTATTTGGACTTAACTTTTGTGTATGATTTATCATGGTAAATCATTTATGATTTATTATGTGTATAATTTCATTTTTTTTGCATGTTATTATCCCGTTTCCCCAACAGCATTTACTGAAGAGACTAACCTTTCTCTATTTTCTTGACTCCTTTGTCATACTGTCATAATTGACCACATAGACTTGAGTTTATTTCTTCTCTTTCTATTCTGTTCCATTGATATATGTGTCTATTTATACGCCAATATCATACTGTTTGATTACTATCTTTTTATAATATATTTTTAGACTAGGGAACCTAATGTTTATAACTTTGTTCTTTTTTCTCAAGTAGTTTTGATTATTTGGGGCTAGTTCCATACAAATTTCAGAATTTATTTACTCTATTTCTGTTAAAAATATCATGGGAATTTTGATAGGGATTACATCAACTCTATAGATGCCTTTCAGTAACATGGACATTTCAACGAAACTAATTCTTCTAATCTATGAGCACAGATCTTTTCATTTATTTATGTCTTCTTCAATTTCTTTTATCAATATCTTATAATTTTCATCTTTTACCTCCTTGGTTAAATTTATTCTTTTTGATGCAAAACTAACTGGGACTATTTTAATTTCCCTTTCTAAGTCTTGGTGTTGAACTGTCCCCACCTCAGTCTATTACTACAAATGGAATTTTGTTTTCTTGTTGATCAAAATGAAGGACTTGTAAAGTATTTTGGAAAATATTTATAGACCCATACGTACAAAGGAATCAATTTCCAAAGACCAAGACATAATGAAGAGGTGTACTGCTATTAAACTGCTCTGCTCATATTGCTCTCCAGACTTCATGGTTCCACTGTGCATGCCCCACACACATACAAGTAGTTACCTCACTAGCAGTTACCACATTTTGCAAAACAAAGAAATTTTAAGCAAGTTAAGGAACAAGGGAAATATAAATGAGAACAATGAGAAAACTACCTAAAATTCATAAATATGATAGTGTAATGACAACTCAGTGGAGAAAAAAGTTTTTTTAGAAAGTTAGCAAAGTATAATATTTAAGAGCTTGGGCAATGGAGTTAGATAAGCCCTATTCAAATTATAACTCTACCACTTACAAGATTTATTAAACTTGCTAAAGTTACTTTGCATCTGTAAGCTCTGTTTTTTGCTTGTTTTGATCTGTAAAATAAGGAAAGTACTGCCTGTCCTTTAGTAGTTTTGTGATAATTTGGACAATGCATATCTTATATATTATATAGTGCCTGATACAATAATCAAAGAAAGATGTACTTGTTGAAGATTTTTTTTGTTTGTTCATTATTATTCCGGAAGACCAGTCAGTGGGCATTGATATTAATTAATACTATTAGAATTCCTCTTTATGCAAACAGTGCATTATTCAAAGAAAAATTTTAGTTCTCCTCTAAATTGCCCATTAAGGCATATTCAAGAGAAATCCATGCATTTTTCAATTATTTTTAAACATGTCTTACCTTTGCTTTTATTGTCAGTTCTTCATGCTTGTGTATTAGATCCTCATTGTCTGAAAGTGATGAGCCTAAACCTTGTTCCTGTAAGTCCTTTATGGCTTCCTGAAACCAACAAGTAACCTAGGTAAAAAAAAAAAAAAAAAAAAAAAAAAAAAACAAAGAGAGACCTAATTTCAAATGATCAGATATGTGAGTAAAAATTAAGGAATAATTCTTTAACCTTTTGAATTTCAGCTAATTCAACTTCTCTTTGTATAAATTCATCTCATGTCTTAAACTAATATGATCAATTTTCCTTCATTTCAACCTCTATATGCTTAAGAGGAAAAAAAAACAAAATAATTCCTGCAAATCATAAAAACAATAGTTCAACAGATTGTATGGCAGAAGGAAATAATTCAAAATTCCTAACAAAGAAGAATCAAAATAGATTCCCATGCACTCTATAAAGCATGCATTCTTTTAGAATATAAATCTTCTTTCCTAGATAAGAGTATAAATCTGAATATAGTTACATAGACCCACATGAAGATATTAAACAGCATGTATAGAATTAATTTTTTAATAAAAAAGACAATGCAAAAACAGTTTTGTACAATTGCTGAAAATCTGTATCCAGAAAATTCATGAAGAAGATATTAAAATTCTACTCATATAATAAACGGCTAATGGTATGGTCACACTCATTCAGACTTGATTTATAATGTACACCTTATACAGTATTAAAAAAACAAATATTAAAGGACTTGAAAGAAGCTGTATATTTTTTAAAAATAGAAGTTGACACATGCCTGGTTACATAGGGTCCCTGGATACAGATTCCTTATCCCAATTAAAGGAAGAAAACTTGTGTTTTCACTTTCAAATCCTACCAATATTATTCTCATGATCATATCATAGTTGCTAATTTTTAAGAGTCCATTACATGCTAGACAATTTTCTAGGCAATAAAATATCAAACATTGTCTATACTTCTCTCAACAACTCTATCACAGGTATGATGTCATAACTGCAGAGATGAGCAAAAGTTAAGTAGCTTATTCAGTAATATATAGTAAAGGGAAGAGGCAAAATTTGCACAAAGTTTCCATTATTTCTAAGTCTATACTCTTTCCATTGTTCCCCACTGCCCTGCTTGAGTAATCTAAAGTCGTACAGCCCTGTCAACAGGGGGAATTATTTTAAACCTGATAAATGAATCCTACAGCCTATTCAGAATGGTGGGCATTTCCTCTGTCTTTCTCTAGTATAGGTTGTCTTGCCTACAAAATCTCAAGATTTTCCAAACACTTATAACATGAAGAAATCTGTGAAATAGATGACCAAAGAGAAAGCTAGGTTAGTGCTAAAGTTACACACACACACACACACACACACACACACACACACACACAGGGGCAAGGGGGATTGGGGGGGAGAGATTGGGGGAAAGAGGGAAAGAGAGAGAGAGAGAGCGCGTTAGTAGTTCAGGTGTACCTAGAATACGAATTCTATTTCCATTACAAGGCTGATCACATAAAGCTGATTATGAGATCAAACAATCTATACTAACGCTTAGCATCTTCCAGTATGGAACAGGCAGTAAAATATGGAACAGGAGTTTTTCTCCAGCTTTTCATTAATTGGAAATCTTTGCTAAGCCGCATTTTAGTTTAGCATCAGTGCTAAGATAAGAAAAGAATAATGTTGACCCTGTAGCAGTTTTCATGTAAAGTATACCTTAATTTTTTTCAGAATATTTGGCAATCTGTGCATCAAACACACAATTAGTCCCCAAATCTAAAATATCACATTAATGTATTTACAATTATTAAAGATAGTCTGTTTTTCTGGTATTCCAATTAGAACTAGATAATATGTATTGTGTGCATATTAGAACCCACAGAAATTATTTATCAAGAGCTATAAATGCATTCATTCGTTTATTTAATTTTTATAAAAATAATTTGTCACCAAAGAAGCAATGAGCTCAAAGAAGAACATAATAGGAGGCATGACTAGTGGTTCCATCACATGAAATGGATGATGACTACAGCCATCTCTATGAGATTATTTAGTTTAAGTATTGAAAGTGAATTTTATTTATTAGTTGCTAAAGTGTGAGGAATTCAGAAATCTCAAGAATGCTTTAATATGGAAAGTTAATATAGAATCTGAGTAAACAAAAAATGGTTACAAACAGGTGTTTGTTAATCTCTAAAAACAGGTGAGACGTCTGAACCCTTAGATAATCCTATTCAATTTTGTGAGTCAAAGATTTGTCATCTAGCACATGTCAGCACTGGTGCAAGCCAGGAAGGAGTAAGTTGTTTTGGTTTTCAGTAAGTTTCTACAGTGACCTCATCTATCTCCTGTCTCAACCCCCAAAGGATACTATTTCCTGTGTGGCAATATTGTGCCCTATAAGAGAACACAGCTAAAGATCAATGATGGTATTTTTTTATATCCTGATCATATGCCTTTCTGATAAAGCATGCTGACCCTCTAGATTACATATTTTTACAATCAGATTCACCACAAAAAGAGACATAAAGACAGAGACAAATTCACATAAAACTCAGAAGTTCATCGTGGGTGATTACATCTCATGAGACATTCACACATATGAGCAGTGTCTCATATCAGATTTACTGTGTGTGTACTGTGGGATGCAGGCATTATAGACTCTGAGTCCTTCTGCTATAAAGCAAGACACCCTAAATAACTGAGAACATGTCAACCATAACACTCCGCCATCCAGCAAATCAGCCATCACATCCAAAGAGTAGCTATTGCAGACAGCTGCATAGATATTTGAAGAGCATTTTTTATAAGTGTTTGAATTATATCAGCTGCTGTCTAAAAGCTGGAGTGATAAGCATAGTAAATGATGTATCAGGAAATTCTGTAGAACAAGTTTCTCTGCAAAAGGCTGAAAACATAAGCCAAATATTGAGGGGATATGGAAAGGAAGAAAGAGCAAAAAACATTCAGAATATACAATGGAAATTGGTCCTTTGCAATGATGAATTAAGGGGGGAAATGAGAACATTTTTGCTCTCTTCCCAGTTCTTACTTTTCAGCTTGACCTAAGATGTGTGTTTTTGACCATCTCATCACAGTGACATGACATTTGAGGTACTTAGTGCCCAGAGAGGGCAAAACTAAGAGAAGGAGTGGTGTAGATCTTATTTTGGGGGGGAGGTAGGAGATACCTATCAGAGGGCGAAGGAGCAGAAAAGAGAAAGCAGGAAGATGCAAAGAAGCAGTAATCAGGGATAATCAATGAAAACCATGAGTTTCCTTGGAAATTAAATAAGGGATAGCAGGAAAATTCAGTCAAATGGTGTGGACCTATACTGTCTTGTGTGGTAGTTACTAACCACATACGGCTACTGAGTACTTGGAATTTGGCAAATTCAAATTGAGATGTTCTTGAAGAATAAAATATATAGTATATTTCACAAATTTTGTATAAAAATGCAGATACCTTGTAAAGAATATAAATATTGATTACATGTTAAAATACTATTTTAGATAATGTTCAATTACACAAAATAAATTATTTCCATTTTTATGTGGCTATTTTTTAATGTTTCTTTTTCACATTGTTAAGTGGCTACTAGAAAATCTAAACGCACACGTGTGACTTGTATTATATTTTTATTAGATGCTCTGCAATTCATGGATATTTGGAACAGGTTTATTTCTTGAATATAGAGCTGAAGTTTGAGTTTTAATTAAGAGAAATTTATAATAGCAGGTAAAAGGGAATGATGGGCAGGATATCAGTTGGTATGCATTAATGGATCACTGAGTGGGGGCTGAGGAAGTCAAAGTAATAACCCTTTCAAAGAAATGTGTTGACTAAGTAAAGGAGGAAGGAGAATAGCTTTAAGGAAAGGAAAGGTAAAAAAAACTTCTTCCCACCATTTTTTCTTATCTTTATTTATGAGATGAGACTTTTATTTTGTATTGCAGGCACAGGCAACTAAAGATGCATGAAGGAGAGGTGATGCAAGAATGTATTAGAAGGAGTGGAAGGTTGGAAGAGAGTAACGCTGAGCTTTGGGTATGGAAGGACAGTTTTTACCTGTTGGACAAACCCTCCCACCTTGACTCCCTGCTGGAAGATAAGATTAATAAACCTACTTTACCTCTTAATAAGCATAATTTGGAAAAAGTATACTTAGATTATATACAACAATAAATTATTTGGCTAAGTGGGTCCATAAAAAAAAAGTAAGAGGAATGAATTGGACCTGCAAGAGCGATATTAGGCAAGTACAGTTTATCTCATGCAGTGTTTACATCCCTCCTATGAGGGAGATATTTGCTTTTTCAACAGATGAGGAAACTGAGACCCAGACAGGTTAAACAACTCACCTAAAATCACAAACCTTTAAGAGGAAAGTTCTACAGGTAGAAATGCCAGGCCTCCCCGGTGGCGCAGGGGGTTGAGCGCTGGGCTGCGAAGCTGCCCGCAGCCTCTACAGCACTGGTTCAATCCCCTGCCACCAGTGAGGGTCCCACATGGCGCGCAGACCTCTCCTGCCATGCCCACTGCTCTCCTCAGCAGTTTACTTCATCAGTCTGCCTGTTCTGTTCCCCACTCTGGCTCTGGTGGATTCTCTTACCCTCCCGTGCTTCTACTGTATCCAGTGCTTGTATAAATAAATAAATAAATAAATCTTAAAAAAAAAAAAAAAAAAAAAAAAGAAATGCCAGAGTTGGAATTTAGACTTTCCTGTATAGTGCTTTTTCTTCTCATCACATCTTTAGATTCTTATAGAGAAGAGAATGGTTCTTATTCAGCTATGTTGTGATTGTTTTCAAGATAAAATCCAAACTACAGCACTAGTTGTAGAACTTAATTCTAATATGAACATAGGGCCTGTGAACAACCATGGACGGTCCATGGAAATACCGCATTAGAGAAGAGAATGGGCGTGTAGGGAAGAAGGTGTGCCTTGGAGGAAGAGCTATGGGTAGAGGAGATAGCAAGCACAAGCTTACAATGCCAGTTCCCAAACAATACACTCTGAAGATGGGACTAAGATGTGGGAAATGGAGGCAATAGAAAATACTGTCTGATGTCAAGGATAAATAACTCAAGTAGCAAGAAAATGAACTTCTGCTGC